GCCCCTACAAATCAATTTTGTAGGGGTGGCTCAATATTGAACAGTCCCTACAAATAGACACCGAGTATTAAAAATTAAGCACTAAACTTCAAATTTTGTAAACGACCTCGGATGGAGAAATAACCAAAATGAAAGTTGTAGATCTCGAAAAGTTATAAAACTTTATAGTTGACAACTTTTTGATTTGAAATCATCTTGTCAAGGAAAACTACGTTTGAATTTCCAAAAATTTGAAATTTTAAATTTTTAAACGATCTCGGATGGACAAACAGTAAAAATGAAAGTTGTAGATCTTAAAAAGTTATGAAACTTTGTAGTTGATAAATTTCTCATTTGAAATCATCTTGTCATGGAAAACTACGTTTAAATTTCTAAAATTTGAAATTCAAATTTTATAAGTGACCTCGGATGAAGAAGCTACCAAAATAAAAGTTGTAGATCTCGAAAAGTTATAAAACTTTGTAGTTGTGAACTTTTTTATTTGAATTAGTTTAGAGCCTCAAACAATCAATTTATGCCCAATTTTATATAATATATGGGGAACCAAAATATATTGTAGACACAAGTGATCGTGAGGTGCAGTGTAGAGAGGAGTTTGTGCGTGAGGGAGAGGTTGCGGGTTTGAATCCCGACCGACGCAAAGTGTGCAAAAATCATGAAAAATGCTGCAACCATAGAGTGGGTGTGTGGCTGTCGGGTGGAGACCTCATCGAATTAAAAAAATGCTATTTTTTTACCTTTTTTTTCGTGATTTCTGAAAATTAATTTATAGGGACGGCTCAATATACAACTGTCCCTACAAATTAATTTGTAAAGACAGCTAATAACACTAACCGTCCCTATAAATTGATTTATAGAGACGGTCTAGGAATCATTCATACAAATATATAATTTATAGAGATGCTTGGTAGGGGTGGCTGAGCAAACCGCTCCAACAAATACTATTTCACGTAGTGAGTATAACCCCGTGATGGGAGGCTAAGCGGTTTCTGATGCTCGGGCAATATTTAAATAGCAAACGTGTTCGTATGTTTCAAGAAACTAATATGTCTTAGAATCGAACTTTATATCTTTATTAGATGCAAGTTTTTCTAACCTCGTATGAGGATGGACCGTGAATCAAGTCACATAGGAACACACAAGATACGATGGCATTTTGGAAAATAAAAGGAAAAACAAACTGAAGAATCACTTTGCTTTTTATATTAGATTAGCTAGATATAGATATAGATATAAATAATGTGTTTTGAATATATATATATATATATATATATATATATATATATGAATTAAACATTGTTTTTATCATTAGATTGCTGGCTCTTGTACCGAGTACTACTACAAAGCCGCCAGCGCAGCCCACAGGTAGCTCAGCACGTCAGGTCTGACAATGGAAAGCACGCATCGTTATTCCTACACAACTTCGGCTCTTACCGAGGGCTTACTAGGAAAATCATCTGACTCAGCTAGGAAAAGCAGTACTCAAAAAACTTGTGCACACATAGTCAAATTTAAATTATTTTTAAGAACTTTTATTAATAAAACAAGCTATAACAAAAATAAAGTGTTACTTTGTATAAATTTTTGAATAAAACGAGTAGTCAAATGTGTGGGTACGACCCCCGATACCTACGGCAGGCCATATGGGTTGTGCCCCCAGGGGTGGCCCAGCCCACAAGACGAAGGCGTGCACGGTATTGATCGACGTGCACCGCAAGATATTATATAGTACCAAATATGATACTTTTCTTGTAACCCTACCCCTCCAGAGTATATAAGGAGAGACATGGGTCCCCTAGTCGACATCTACATACATATCATACAATACACCAAAGACATAGGACGTAAGGTATTACGTCGACCAGACGGTCCGAACCTGTATAAATCGTTGTCTCTGCGCCTTATGTCACCATCCGGTTCCTGATTACGCGCACCCCCACCGATCAATCTACCTTCGTGGGATACTTTTCGGAGGACTACCGAACATATTTTATCGACATTAAATTTAAGGTAAAAAAAGTCAAACGAATTATAATTTGAAATGGATTTAGTATACAACAATATCTAAGAGTCTTTCTTTGTGTCACTCGTCGCTTGGTGGGCCTCTCGTCTCACCTTCACCAACAACTAGGCCTTGCATTGGATAACCTTGACTTTGTCACCAACAGACTAGGCAATCGGCATCGAGCCAGTCCGCGGAGATCCCGTCGATCTCCTCACTCGTATTTCTGCGGCTGATAAGCCGACTGATGCTGCTTTATTACCAGAGAAAAACACTGTACTATGGCTGATAAGCCGGGCTGATAAGTTTAAGCAAACATATTTTCGTTTTCTAGGACACGTTTCCAGCCAGCAGATAGATCTGCCACTCATGTTTGGGTCTTCGCTCGCTGAGTACTGTCCCGTACTTAGTAGCATGATTGACTCTATGGACAACTTTTTCGCACACTCTCTTCCTACTCCAACTTAGACATGGAGAGCTCGGCGATCCACCGCCCTTCTCGGGAAGTCTTTTTGTTGGAGCAAAAGACCCTTGAAGAGCAAATCACTTATTGGTTTCGCTAGGAGGCTAAGCATATGGAGAATGGACATGCTGATCTAAATGCCAAAAACCTCTGCCACTCACTTTTGGGTCTTCGCTCGCTGAGTACTGGTTCGTACTCACTAGCATGATTGACTCTGTGGACAACTTTCTCGCACACTCTCTTCCTACTCCAACTTAGACACGGAGAGCTCGGCGATCCACTGCCCTTCTCATGAAGTCTTTTTGATGGAGCAAAAGAGCAAATCACTTGGTTCCGCTAGGAGGCCAAGCACATGGAGAACGGACATGCTGATCTCAATGCCAAAAACCGCATCAGCGACAAGCAAAAACCTACATGCTAGGACTTAGGAATTGGATGTGAGTGACCTATCTTGTATGAGTCTAGGACGTGAGTTCGGAGCTTCAACTATGAACCTTGACTTTAAAAACTGCAAATACACTTGGGCTGTGTTGGTTCTAGAGTAAAGTTTTTGTGCAAGTGTGTCTTGTTGAGCAGAAACAAGCACGAGCTAGGGCCTATTTGGTTTGCGGTGACTAAAGTTTAGTCACTCCACTTTAGTCTTTTTTATTCATTTTTTTACCAAACAAGATGACTAAAAAGGACTAAATTGGTTTAGTCATCTAGTCAAAGGGGTGACTAAAGAGGACTGAAGGACAAAAAAAGACACCCTTGCCTTTCATTATTGTGGCAACAACAAAGATCCTAGACAGCTAATAAGGACATTTTGATATTTTTTAATAGCTTTAGTCCCTTTTAGTCACCTAAACCAAAACACCCTAGGATAGGACTAAAGTTTACCAAATCAAACCAAATAGGCCCTTATTCTCTTGGTCCCAAAGTAAGGGGGTGTTTGGATTCATCTCCTAAACTTTAGTCGCTGTCCCATCGGATGTTTGACACATGCATGGAGTATTAAATATAGACTAATTACGAAACTAAATGCACTGATTGAAACTATTTTGCGAGACGAATTTTTAAGCCTAATTAGTCCATGATTTGATAATGTGGTGCTACAGTAAACATGTGCTAATGACAGATTAATTAGGCTTAATAAATTTGTCTCGTGTATTAGTGACGGATTCTGTAATTTATTTATTTTATTAATATCCGAACACTCCATGCGATGCCTCCACGTGACACCTCCTAAACTTTAGGCTCTGTTCGCTTGAGCATATAAGCCAGAATCGGCCCTACTTTTTTAGTCATGGAACAGTGTTTTCTCTCCCAACAAATCAGCCGCAGCAGCAATAAGTCCTGCCAAACAGAGCCTTAGTCCCTGGATCAAACACCCCCCTAAGTGCTCGTCTCGTACTTCGAGGAGTCAATCTCTCATACCTGACTAGATTTATAGAGATAGCATTAACATTTGTATCTCTAAATAAGTTTATTTAGTATGAATATATATGATATCTATTTAGTATAATGAACATTAGTATCTTTTTTTATATATTTGGTTAGATTTAAGATTACTTGATTTTTTGAAGTGTGAGATGTGCTGTTATTTTGAACGGAGAGTAGTCCCAAATTTGAATTTTAAAGCAAGGTCAAGCTGCGCATGTAATAAATTTGTTAAAAAAAATACAGGGAGTTTCCGTTTAACAGCGACACGCTACATAAGGGTCCGTTTGGTTAGGCTTTTGGTTTTGACTTTTAGCTCCAAAAGCCAAAAGCCTAACCAAAGAGGCTGTTTTTTTTAGAAGCAACTACTTTTCTACAGTATATTTTTGAAAGCTGGTTTGACCCTGCTTTTGACTTTTTGCTTTCTGCTTTTCGAAATTGATATAATAAAAAGCTCTTCTAGAGTTGTTTCAAGATAGACAAAGACAGAAGGTATATTTTATACTTATTTAACTAAATAGTTTTTAATTTTTCTACAGTTTACAACCCACAACAGCTTTTCTCACCACTCATAACTCCACGACAGTTTTTTTCCACAGCCACGTCACAGCCAAACACACCCTAGAGATCTGGCATCCTCATCCGCTCGCGCGGAGCCAACCAGAACCAGGCAACCAACCAACGTGCCGGCGGCAGGAAAAAAATGCTGCGTGCGCCCCGCCGCCTACACACGCCATAGCCCGTTCCCCAAGAAAGAGCCCCCAATACTGGTAGTCTGGCACACAGGCTGTGAGAGGGGAAGGATAGCGAAACGTATTAAACTCGCGCACACCATCAACCGCATGCGCTGATGCGCACTGCCCCGGAGAAATTCAAATCCCAAACCCCGCAAGCAAATTACCCCAGCACCAAATTCGCGGCCGGCCGGCCGGCAGCTCTCCGTCGATCCACTGCGGCTTCCAGTCCCGAATAATCCCAATTCCCAATCGATTCGAAGCCTCCTTCCATCGAGGGGAGGGGGAGGGGGAAGTGGAGGGCGCGGGGAGAACCCTGCTTAGGGTTTGGAGGTGGCCGGCGCCGCCGCGGGGCGGGGGCCGCAGCGGCAGCGGCAGGGGGATGGATCCGGAGCAGACGTTCCTGCGGGTGCACGCGCGCCTATCGGGGACGCTGTCCCAGCTGCTCACGCCGCGGATCCGCCTCGCGCTCGAGTACCTCTACCTCGCCGGCGCCGTCGCGCTCTTCTGCCTGCTCGTCGTCATGCACACAAACTTCGTGCAGCAGGTCAGTCACGGGCCCGTCTCTCGAGAATTGCCCTCAGTGGCCCGCCTATCATTCTCCATTGCTCCTGTTGCTCCTGCTCCTACCGCTGTGATGGATTGGGAGCGGATGTGACGCTTCTCGTGGGTTTCTGTTGAAACTATCACCGGGCTTGGGGTGGGGAATTCGTGCTAACTTCTGTGATCTTTCAGCAGTGCTACCATGCTGCCAATTTAATGTGAATTGTGGAAACAGAGCTACCATCGCTGCTTTGCTAATGATTTTTTTGCCGGCATAACATTGAAGAACTTTTACCTATCCTCTGTTGTTGTTCCTTCAGTAATAAGTAGTATTTACTTTGAACTAGGATGAACAAAGGTTACGTACTCCCTCTGTATTTAGCTTGTCCTAAACATCATATATTCAAAAAGGGAGTATTAGTTCATCACTTAATCTGTATACATACTCACTTCCTGCTCTGTTTATGATTGACATTTTTGTTTTGACCTTTATTAATGCATGTAATGGTACATAAGATAAATATTTGATGAACTATGATATATCTACATGCATATAGCACAAATCACACATCACAACAAGCAAGGCCATGCAACTATAACCTTATTCATCTAAATGATCTGTCTATATATCTAATACATATAAAAGCAGGCTCTCTGCAATTCACATATTCATGTGCATAGTGACCAAGTTCCTGGGTTGATGGGATTGAGGAATGTTGAACCTACTTGTTTCTGGAACAGGAACAATGTTCCCAGGGCGAAGAACATGCCATGGTTCCACATTCCCGCTGATTAATACCAACTAGGTAGAAATATAAAGTTCATGGGTGGAGATCATTAACACAAATCTAGAGTTTTGAGAAAAAAGAAAGAATATCTGTAGGAAAAAGAAAGACTGAAACCCTATGCGATGGACTAATACTATTTGGTTTTGTAGTCCACATTTCTGTCCACTCCAGTCTTTATTTTTTGATTCTCACTTTTGAATTGTCTTTTGCATGCGAAGCCTGGCTGCTCAAGTGAGTTTTCTGGAATTGAATTTGGAGAAGCACAACTTGTCCAAATCAAGGTAGTATTAATGTCAGGTTGCTCTTTGCTTTTGTTCTTGAATTTGTTGCTACTCTGAAACTCCATTATGTATGTTTTATTCTTCTTGCTTTTGTTTGATGATTTCTGTTTCTATTCTATTGGTGTCAATCTTAAACTTTGCTATGAGTTGTAGATTATCAGTGGGGGATTATGGTCCAGCAGAGGTGCTTCTTACATCATGGATCTCCAGAACCTGGGACGTTCAGCTGAGAAAATTTTAGAGGTTAATGGTGATAAGTTCAACATTTTGGCATCTAAGTTTTGGTCAACCTGGGTTGGCCCTGGAGCTAGGAGGAGTAAGCTAATGTTTAGAACTTGGAAAGGAGACAAAGAATTTGAACCTCAATCAGAGAATACAGCTGACACAACTGTTACCACGACTATTCCAGGCTTACCAGATTTGAAGGCAGCTGGAGAGGGTTCTGTACACCACCCTTTATCGGCTAAGGAGTCATTTAAAGCAGCAGTGACATATTTGTTCAGAAAATGGTACCATCGTGCTGTCTCATTCTGGAAGAACATAAAGCAACTTTCAGAAAATACCCTCCAGTTGATGGTAAGAAGTTTGACCAGGAATTTTGTAAACCACCCCCTTGTTTAATGCTTACCCCCAAAATCCTCTGTTGGTCTGATCGATGGATTTTGACGTAGCAAAAAAAAAAAGTTTATAGTTCTTTTTTTTTTTAGGGGGGGTGGGGGGAGACCTTACATATTCCTTTTTGAGAAGTGTTTCTGAAGGGGCAAATTAGTGGCATATAGCTATTTATTGCTGAGATTTGTTGGACTGATAGTGTAACAGTATTAATCAATAGGGGGGGGGGCAGACCAGTGCCGGAGGCTCCCACATGAGTGGGGTCTGGGGAAGGGAAAAACCGAGGCAAGCCTTTCCCACGCAAAATCTGCAGAGAGGTTGCTTCGAACCCGCGACCTGGTGACTCAGTGAGACAGCTCTCACCACTGCACCAGGCCTGCCCTTCAACAGTATTAATCAATATTCAGATTAAATAAAGGACTGCTCATCAATATTTTTATCCCTACTGGGTTCCATAAGTGGCATGATACTTTTTTTTTTGTCTATAACTCATTAACTCTATATGTTTGCTATTAGTGTTCTGTGTTTGCCTATGTCTCTCCTATTGGTTAACATACATGTACTTTATCCCTATGATATTTCTTGTTTATTTTAACATCAGGTCAGATCAAATTGGAATGACTTCCTCCATATTTTTAAGGATCTTCAACTACCAAGCATGGATCATCTTATTTCGACAATAGGTAGGGTCGACTGTTAAGTTGTCATATTTTATGTGCCTCAACCTAGAATAGTGCTTGCATGAATCCTATTAACCTTGTCACCTGCAATCTCCAAGCACTAATTTTCTCTAACTTCTCTAGCTTATGTTGCTTCTTACAGTGCAGTGGTTTGAGAGGAGGAGTAAAGCATTTGAGCCTACTTATTTATATGGCGTGGAGAAGGTCTGACTCTTCCTGTCCTGTTTATATCACTTGGCCATTCTGTCTTCTTTGATATGTTATTTGGTGATGAGCTTCTTGTTTCTTAGCACAATAAGAATACAAACTTCTGTTGAACATGTTTGAAAGTTTTAGGCTACTCTTCAGTGAGGAAATCGTGTATGCACCTAGTCAATCCCCAGCTGGTGAAAATTCCATTAACAATCTGATAAGTGATAACTGTGAATATGCCACTGCTTCTTGACATCTTCAGTGCAAAGTTCCATTATGAGGATATATTATGTTAAACTCTAAAAAATATCCTTGCTGTTCCTTTGTCCACTCACCCTTATAAACTTTGGCACATTGGGATGGAACACTGGACACATATGATGGATGTTACATCCCTTCTCTGTTGACCTTCATTGCTTTCTGACATGCCACTGGCCTTATGTGGTCACATCCCAAGTGGTCTCAACACAATGGTGAGGCCACAGGCTGTTTCCAGGTCTGCACTTCTCTCACTGAAGTACTGACCGTTGCAATGCAGTCTGAGTAACCAAATCGCCTGCCCAGCCTACACCTAGGCACGCCAACTACTTATAGTTGAAGCTCACAGAGCACTAACCTGGAAGCTTGTAGATGAAGTCGCCCTTCACATCACATTGTCGCAGATGTGTTGTGTATGCAATCTTTAATTTTAGCAAGGGTAAATAACGAACAGACAATTTTAGGCTATGAAAGAAGTTCAACCTTATTAGAGTGGCATATTCACTCAATGAAAAGGATCTGAAAAGCAGTAGAATATTCACAATTATACAGTATTAGCAATATAGGTTTGGTTGATGACATAGTTTCTTGAATTAATTCAAGCCTTGAGTTGGTTAAGAGGATCAGAAGACCCAATTGTTGTCCCTTTTATGCTTGTATGCATGTATTAGCATCGTATGTTGAATAGTATTCATTGTAGGGGCTTTCCCACATGCTCATTTCTTTTCTGCAGGGTTATTTCTTGCTTTCTGAAGGTGCTAAAATTCGTCATGGTGTCCGAACAATCAATATCACAATTTCTGCTCGAAATCCTTGCTTTGGAAACAGGTTTCTGTTCAGTATTTTTGAACCCTTCCTGTTTGCAAGCTTTTAAGTGCCAAAGGTTGCTGTTAATATTAGCTCCTTCTCATATGTTGAAAACTTTGATCTGACGTAGAGTTTAAGAGAATGCCCTTTCCACCAACATGCAAGCACGCTGCATGTTGTATTTTAAGAGTATCAGTGACCTTACCTTGGATCTTGTGGAATTTGCATATCTATCTAAATGTTTCCACTTCAGCATATATTAATTCTTGACAGTTTGCTACTTAGATTCCAGACGTGTATTATCCAGATAACAATTTTGACAAATACACCCTCCATTTCAAATTATAAGACATTTTGTTTTTTCTAGGTACATTGCTTTTACCATGTATCTAGGCATAGTGTGTATCTAAATGCACAGCAAAAGTTATGTATCTTGAAAAGCCAAAGCGTCTTATAATTTGGAATGGAGGGAGTACTAGGTTAAGTCACAGTTTTGCACATCTATTTATTTTTCATCTTGAGTTGATTGTGGCCTTTGGCAACGTTGATCTTGCACTCAGATAATAAGAATTGGTGCCTTATTTCAATGAACACTACGATAGTAACTCCTATATCATTGCAACATGAAATTTTCTTTGATATAATAAAACCTGTAGATTTGTGTGCAATTTGTACTTTGTATACAAAATGTGAGAGACGTTTCTTTCTCTATAAGTCTACATTTTTCTTTGCTACAGTTTTCTTCGAGTGGGTGTTTGTGATGTGTTGGCATGTACATATACTATCCAATTGGATTGTCTGCAGTAGAATGACATCTCAATTTTTTCTACATTTTCCTTTTCAGGTGGCAGCAGCTTTTGATAAACAGCATTGTTGGATATGATACTATACTTACAAACAGCTTGGTGAATTCTCCTGGTCATGGTATGCATCTGATCCTATTGTGCATGTACAAACCTTAAATCGTCAAAATAGTTCTACAAATGATCACAGACTTGGTTCATAACAGCAAAGTAACAACTAACAACGCAGTTGACTTGCTTGGAAGCATGTCAAACAACAGTTTTTTCACTTTGTATAACTGTTTGCACTATGATCCATTTCTGAACTAATGTTTTGGTCTTTGGTATGTTGTGCAGGCTATTTATACAACTTTCAGACAAAGGAGCTCTATGATCTCAGTTATGGGCATGAACCACCAGAAGGTCCTACAAGATTTGGAGGTTGGTATAGTTAACTTTGTTTTCTCAATATGTTGTCAACTCTTGAGCGTTTTCCACATGACATCACTATTGTGCATTTGTTCCACTAAAGCTTTATACATGTCAACTGCTAAATTGCAATGAACTTTCAAATTGGAAAATACGGAACCAAAAATTCCTTAATTTTGGCTTTTGATTGCCTTTCATAATATACATGACTCATATCTTCCTCTCTGTGCATCAAATCTGATGCATTGCAACTTTGGTGTTTGCAGATTACTTTGTGACAAAATGTGGTGTCCTTCTAATGTCACTCTTTGTCTTTTTCACAACCACCATGTCTGTTTCATTTACTCTGAGAGAAACGCAATCCCGCATGCTTAGGTTCACAGGTTGGTGTTCTTTTCTGTAGGTTGCGGTCTGGACTGCTTTGCACTTAATATTTTATTTGATTCACCTAGTGCGTTGTTCTTCCTTGAAATTTTCAGTGCAGCTTCAACACCATGCACGCCACCACCTGCCAACTTTTCAGTTGATATTCGTGCATGTCATCGAATCATTGGTTTTTGTTCCGGTAATGGGAAATATTCTTTGGCGTTTTGAAATATTTGAAGTTTGTGATGAAAATGTATTCGCTGCAGGATTCACCAAACTTCTACATTAGCTCACTCATTATTTTGTTCTGATCTTTGTAGATTATGATTGGGATCCTCTTTTTTCTATTTGAGTTCTACGATGATCAATTGCTTGCGTTTCTTGTTTTGACTCTTGTATGGTTATGTGAGCTATTCACGATGATCAGGTAATGTTTTACATGGAAGTATTACTGGAATTTTTATTATTAATTACTCCACTCCCAATGTGAAACATCTACTCTTTTAGAGAAGTCACTGTTTCGGCCAAACTCCTGTTGGGTATGGTTGGGGTCGGGTCGGGTTCATTTGTGATCCAGGGGCACCCAAATGAAAAAATCTCTCCTCTTTCAGCTGGAAAGAGTATTTTAATGGGGGCCCAGGCGACCAGCTAATAACTACAATTTGACAGTGCCTTCCCCCAAACAGTGACTTCTGCTGTGTCCTATGGAAAATTTTCTCTAAGGGAATAGGTAGGTCTTTTGCTCAGTATAACTGCTGAGAGAGCAACTCAAATAAAAGATATATGTGTAGAGATGATCACTTATTCTCGTCGAAATAGTATAAGGCAGCTAGCATGAATGCATCTATCAGAATTGATTTTGTGCAGGACAAATTTTTGAAGCTAATCATTCTTAAATACTTATCCTTGTATCTTTGTTTTTTAGTGTGCGGACATCCATATCGATGCAGTTCTTTCCACGCTTCTTCTTGCTGTATTTTTTGGTTTTCCATATCTACTTCTTCTCATATACTTATGGTACGTAAAATTCAGTATGTATCGAATTTTTTTCTGACTGAATTATTGATTAACTAATAGCACATTTCTGTCGCTTTATGACTTATGCTTTACCAGGCTTCTCATATCTGGCTTTCTCTGCTACGGCAGCATTCATGCAGCACCTGATTTTATATTTTTGGAACCGTTTTGAGGTTAGTTAATGTCTTGTTTCTGTGTTTTGGTATTTCTCATTCATTATCTAATGCTTGTTACTACATTTTGATGTAATTTTCTGTTCACGTTTTTTTAGAAATAATCATTGATTACGATAAGTTAGATGTTTCAAAGTTTAATATCCCTATGCATTTTTAGCTTCTGAACAGTGGTTTGTATGCACAGCTTGTCATAACTTTCATGTGAATCAGAAAATTGACCCAAAATCGGTTGATTCACTAGGGAGGTAGATCAGTCTGCATATATTGGGTTCATTTGCTCAATTAAATCCTTGTCTCCCAATGTCTACTTCATGTTTCCCTATGCCACTTCAGGTGCCAGCTCTCCAGAGATTCATGCGAAGTCGAGCTCACATTCACCAGCCGACAGGTGTCCAGATATCCTCAACTATCTACACTTCTACCTTACACATTGCTAGGGTAAATGTGAGGGACCCTGGTACTATAAACGATGGCCTTGGTGCTGCTCGTGAAGCAGATGCCCTATTGGTTCAGGATGAGTCTACCAGGAACCAGCAAGAAGGTCAACAACACGGAATTTCTGAGCCAGCTGCCAACAATGCTCACCAGTATCAAGAGCAAAACCCTCAGCAAGCTGGAAGCACCCCTGCAGGCTCAGGCTCCCTCAACCCATTTGGGTCCCTTTTGCTGTGGTTGCTAGGAGGCGGTGCTTCTGATGGCATAGTTTCTTTCTTCTCTATGTTCAGAGATGTCCGTGATCATGGTCAAGATTACACCGATCCACCTCGAAATGAAAATGATCAGGTGACATAGAATCATGAAGATGAAAGTGGACCAATGACAGAACTCTCGGCGGGTGCTTGGGCGGCAGTAGTCTATTGCTAATATGATATAATGCCGGCAGCCCCTTTCAAAAGGATAATGACGAATATTGGTTGCAGCATGTACAGACTGGTGTTGCTGGAGATACCATGATAGTATTATCTGTTTCTCTTTTTTTAGTTAGTAGGTAAGGATGAAGGTTGTATCTATATTCATTATATATGTACATTCCCTACCGTCTGAATGGGAGTGCCCATTCCAGCCCTGTACAGAAATGCCAACTCACAGCATATTAAATGTTGTGCAAATTCTTTTTGTACTCCCATGGGTAGGTGCTACAGCATGGAATATGCAGTGTTACTGTGTGCACCTGTTACTGAATTGGATAAAATTAATGGTTTGGATCCATTGTTACATGTGCTGTTCCAATTTTGAGGTTAGTGCTTGCAGATTAATTCCTTAAAATTATGGTTTTTCAGTGTTCCTTCAAATTTTGAACACCGTTGTTGTCCATTCACTGAAATGCGGTCAGTTTAAACTTTGAAACTTATAATGATGTTGTGGTGTCATTTTGCTGTCATAGTGCATCATGTTGTTGCTTTAATCTTTGTTGCCGCATATGCAAGTTTACCACTTCAGCCACTTCATTGAACATCGTCTCTTACATGAGACTTATTCCCTCTTTTCAAATTGTAAGTGGTTTTAGTTTTATTCTAAACCAATCTCTAACTTTTACCAATTTTATAGACAAATATGTTAACATTTACAAAGCCAAATAAATGAATTATCCATGCATATCTTAAGTTTGATTTAATGAAACTACTTAGACATATTTGATGTTGATCCACTCCTAAAACTAAAACTCGGTCATAGTTAGACAATTTTGAGTTAGGACAGAATTAAAATGACCTACAATTTATAACGTAGTACTCCGTATTTTATAAGGCTTGTAGTCACATTGAGACAAAACGATATTACTCCAGTTTCCCACCTCTGCTGGACGGGTGCTGCAACATCGCCGTTGCATATTCTGTTATCCAGCTTGGTGCTTGTAAATTTAGTTGCTTGAAATTCTGGACACCAATGTACATTCCCTGATGGCTGTCTTTGAAGCTGGATGAGGTGCTATTTTGCCATCAAAGTGCATCATGTGTCTGCCCTGGACTCCCTCTGTTCAAATTGTAAGTCGTTTCGACTTCTAAACATCGCTTTTTATTACGTACCTAGACTTCACATAAAATATTATCTATCTAGAAAAAAAACGAGAATAACTTATAATTTAGAAGGGGTAGTAATATTCTAGAGACATAAAAGTACATATTCTCCTATCGTTGAAATTTTAAGTTGTTTTACTTTTGTCATAAGTGAAATTTGTTTAATTTTAACTAAATATAAAGAAAAAATATATTAACACTTACAATATTAAAAAATGCAATCAAATATGTTTTAATGGTGTATCTGATAAATCTTGTTTGATGCTTGTGTATTCTTTTATAAGCTTAGTTAAAGACTTAAAGTTAGAGCAATTCTTTTTTTCGATAGGTACAATTTTGATGATGCACACAATCCACAAACTCCACACGCACACATGCATGTGCATCCCTATATAAAAAAAGAGATTGAAAAGCTCTCTTGCCTCCCCTGCGTGGAAACCACGGTTTTATTGGCTTATTGGGTTTACAGCCTGTTCGCTTGGTCGTATTTGACTTATAAGCCATGATTTATTAGCCAACGAACATTATTTCTCTCACTAAACTAACCCACAGTACTTTCAACCATGGCTTATAAGCCAAACCAGCCCAAACGAACAGGACGCTGGTCTCTTTGTACGAGAAACTAGACCGGTTATAAAAGTCTGTAGTCCTATACGGCACCAATAGAAGCGCGCGATTACTTCATTTGGTGCAGGTTTAGTTCCCAAAATTTTGCAAAATTTTTCAAGATTTTCCGTCACATCGAATCTTTGGACGCATACATGAAGCATTAAATATAAATAAAAAATAAAACTAATTACACAGTTTAGACGAAATTCACGAGACGAATCTTTTAAGCCTAATTAGACTATGATTGGACACTAATTGTCAAATAACAACGAAAGTGCCACAGTACAATTTTCAAAAACAATTCGCCAACTAAACCAGGCCTTGCTTAAAGTGATTGAGCCGAAATCTCTAGCTCGGCCTCGATGACCACCGTTCCACCATCTTAAAACTTTCAAAAAAGAAAGTTCCATGAGCTTATTATTGGCATTTCGTACCGCATCCCCTTGTGACCACAGGTACGAACCTCACCGTCCCTGTTTCAAACAATTGCTACTTCGGGCGCCCTCCGCAGAACCGAGGCGAACGGGGAACAGGGACCCCCAAAACAATTTCAAACCTCGCGTCGGCTGCCGCCGAGCCCATTTCAAACCCCCAAGCGCAAGCGCACCGAGGAAGCAGCCAGCGGTGGTCCCTTTCCCCACCGAGGGAGCAGCGGGCAAACCCAAGCACCCGCCCAATCCGATTCGTCCTTCTCATCCCGCCCGTCCTCCGCGGAGAGATCTGGCGGCGGCCATGCCACTGGGCGACGGCGCGGCGGCGATGGCGGCGGGGGACTTCGCGCTGCCGGACGAGCTCCTGGCGGCGCTGCCGCGGGACCCCTACGAGCAGCTGGATCTGGCGCGCCGCATCACCGCGCTGGCGGTGGCGGGGCGGGTGTCCGGGCTGGAGCGGGAGGCGGGGCGCCTGCGGGCGGAGGCCGCGGCCAAGGACCGCGAGAGCGCCGAGCTCCGGGAGCGGGTGGCGCTGCTCGACACCGCGCTGCAGGAGACCAACGCCAGGCTCCGCGCCGCGCTCGAGGACAATGTGGGTCGTGGCGTGCCCGGAGCTGCTGGCCCCGCTCAATCTGTTCGCATTTGGCGTCTGCGTGCGTTTGGGTTTCTGAACTTGGTGCTTGCAACGTTGTGGGTGCAGATTAAGCTCAGCAAGGAGCGGGACTCGCTGGCGCAGACGTCCAAGAAGCTTGCACGCGACCTGCAGAAGGTTCCCCCCGTCGACCTATCCTTCTCCTTGAGCATACATATTTGTAGGTGTAGTGCTGTGTTACTGTGTAGCTAGGATTGAAAATTCACGTATATTAGGAAAGTTATTAACCAAAGAGATTTGAACGGTTGGGTAAGGGGAACAATTGGACAGTCTATTTGGACCATTTATTAGTACAGTATACATTTTGAGATCACCATGAGTGAGCTGGGTTGTCATTTCTTAGGCTGCAAGTGCCACTGATATTCATGAGAAGGATGTTATTCAGATGTTCAGTATCATCATAAGTAAACAAATCGTAGCAAATCAAGGATGTTTTCATTGATCTGTAGCCACTGTAAATGGCAAGTAAAAAGTGGAAAACAACTGGGATTCAACCAATCCACACCCACGATCATTGGCTTATATGGGCCCCAACAATAAGGCACATCAGGGACCCAATCTTTATTTACCACATGTGCGCCGCTTCATGTTCCCAATGCACGGTTTCTAAATATGACTCTTACAACTGATTAGTTTTCTTGCATAGCTGATTGAACTTTCCTTTTTTTCCCCATGAATATATCTCTGTTCCTTGGATGCCATTTGTTTAATCTCTCTCTTTCCTTACACGAACGTGCATAAATATCTCTGATTAGATCATCCTCTTGATTGATTTCCTTATATAGCTTTGTTTATTTTTGCAATTGATTTCCTTATATAGCTGATGGACTTCATTCGCTGCTAGTGGGCAATAAGAGTGAAACAAATCTAAGGAGTGAAACAAATTTTTTCTCTTTTTTCTCTCTTCCTTATTTGAAGGACAAAAATGAACTTTTTTCTTATGCTCTCTATAAGGAGCAAGCCAAATGGCATTTCAGATTATCAGCCACACTTGTCTATCTTTTCGTGCAGCTTTGGGTGGTCATCTGTTGTTGTTGGTCTTTGTCTTTTCCCCTTGTGTCTTGTAATAAAATTTATGTCAAGACTCTTGCCGTCCTTTCAAAAGAAAAAGAAAATCCACTCTCTCTTTCCCTAACCTTTTTATTTGACAACATACTGATATATTTTCTCTATTCTCAGCTGGAGTCATTCAAGAGGCATCTGATGCAGTCATTGCGTGATGATAGTTCATCAGTATGTTCATCTATGTACCCAGTATATCATGCTATTTATGTGTGTTTGCTAATTTATTGCGAGGGTTGAGGTTGACTGTTCACCCTTAATTGTTTGCTGAATCCTTCTCAAGCAGCCACAGGAAACAGTCGACATTACAACTTGTGATCAGTCAATAGCATCAAAAGCATCGTCCAGTGGAGGTTAGATGTACTTGAAATTTTTTCATTTCTATTAACCACCAAAAGTATCCAACACTTCCTATAAAAAGTATCCAACACTGATCCGTAACTAATATTTTGTTTTGAATGCTGAAGATGGTGGATCTGTCAGCCACCCTACAACAAATGTATTTAGGGAATCTTTGGATACTGGAAGCACAAACCGAGATGGTATTGTTAGCTTATCATTTATTATTCATCTTGATATCCATCAGGATGGCAACATAAGTTTCAACCGTTTGCTGTGTTGAAAAAATCTATTAGGTACTGCAACAAGACCTCCGATCCAAAAATATGCCCTCTCATCGCACATCACTCCTCGCCTTACCCCAGAGGCCACTCCTAAAATAATGTCCACTTCTGCTTCTCCAAGGCGAATGTCTACCACAGCAACACCGAAGTTGATGTCTGGTGCTACCTCACCAACAAAATCTCGAATTGAAGCTCACATGTCAATGACACCATGGTATCCATCAAGCAAGCAATCCTCCGCAGCTAACTCACCTCCACGAGGACGTTCAAACCCAGGTTTGTAAAGTTGTATTTCCATTTGGAACTACAATGTTACATGGATAGAATAAATACGGCTGATGCTGGGGTTTTCAGGTCGCACTCCTCGAATTGATGGAAAGGAATTTTTTCGTCAAGCCAGGTCTGTTGATGTCTGAACCTCTTTTCTAAACCATCATCGAATTAGATGGATGATGTCATGATTAACAAAATTTCATTACCATTTATAGGAGTCGTCTATCCTACGAACAATTTGGAGCATTCTTAGCCAACATCAAAGAGCTCAATGCCCATAAGCAGTCACGTGAGGTTGGTAATTTTGGTCCATCTGTTAATTTTTTAATTGATTTACCTGCCTGAGTCATAACACAACCACATAACTGTTGATGTTTTGCTAATTTTCTAATTGAATACCTGTCTGAGACATAACACAACCACATAACTGTTGATGTTTTGCTAATTTTTTAATTGAATACCTGTCTGAGTCATAACACAATCACATAACTGTTCATGTTCACATTTTAAACCAGGAAACTCTCAAGAAAGCTGAAGAGATCTTTGGTCCAGACAACAAAGATCTTTATCTATCTTTCCAAGGCTTGCTAAATCGTAGCATGCCATAGGCTTCATGTGTCTCTTTGTAAGTTCCGCTATCCAATGTCAGAGTTCCCCTGCTCATGATTTAGTTACTGCAAAGCTAATAAGATACACAATTTGTTGTTGGGTTTGCAGATAAACGAAGTTGCTGCATTAGCAACTTATTGCCATCTAGCTGTGGATTTCAAGGTCCAGTTGCAAGTTTTGGCCCCATAATCCACATTAGGTGGAAGTTTGGAACGATCGGACCTCTCGACAACTGAGCATGCAAGTTTTGCTTCTGTAAGTGGTGCACTGCCTAAATTAGGATGCAGTCTGTCATGGTGCCCATCCTTGTAAAACCGTGAAACAGACAAACTTGAGAGTAAAATTTCATTTCATCCCCAACTGGGACAAACCAGTAGCTGCATCTTATTCTGGTAATCTCAAGCTAACTTTTTTTTTTCGTTTTGCTCTGGTTGTACTGAGGTTTTTCTCTGAAATTATTTTCGCAGCTGAATAAAAGTTGGCACATAACATAATTCCAAAAACACCGGCAAGGGAAATTCCAGTAAACACTTGGACAAACATAGTTAAAAGTTATCTGCATTTCCATAGCAGAGTTCACCTGTTTTACTAGGCAGATGCTAAGAGCAAGAGAAAGGTTCTTGCAATGCATAGCATGATGCACACCAATGTCTGTAATAATGTTCCACCTTCTCATGGAAGGACAGCCAAAAAAACAAGCCCTGGACATACTGCTAGAAGGTATAGGAGAAGGCCTCTACGTACGCTCACCTTCCTCCTAGTGTCACGCCACGCTGTTACAGCTCGCGCACACCATATACCTGAACCTGATGATATTATATATAGTATATACCAACTACCATACCACCATCTGTGACTCAAAAACAGCACCTGATCGATCACACGACTAAATCAGCTAAAACAACCTAGATTGAGTGCTTGGCCTGACCCAGAAGAGAAGCACCTGATGGATACGGTCAGCAGCCTCCATCCTGATCCTAGCTAGCTAGTAGGACCAGAAGTGGGCGTCGTCCATGCTGGGCTGGTCCACGACCATGTCCAGCAGCTCCGGCGTGGCATTGCAGTGCGCCTCGGGCTCCGCCGTCTTGGGCGAGGACATGGACGACGGCGAGCCGGTGTAGCTGCTGCCCCCGCCGCAGCCGCCGTTGGCCCTGCTGGCCGCCTTGAGCCGGTGCAGGATGTAGCCGTTGCTCATCTTGAGCCTGACCATCTCGGCCTGCGCCAGCGCCAGCTGTGCCTGGAGCGCCTCCACCTGCTGCTGCAGCGACGAGATGGCGCCCACGCAGCCGTACACCGGGTCCCTGACGCGCGCGTTGGCCTCGTACACCAGGCTGCTCACCGCGTCCCCTCGGTGCTGCACCGGGATCTCCTGCACTTGCCACCACCAGAGAGCATGGGTAATTGAGTATGCAACGACAGTGCATGTTCACTCTCATGGAATGGATCGTTTGCACTCCAAGAAGATACAAATGACAAGATACGTAGAAATGTATAGTCGAACGAGACACATTTTGCAGACATGACAAAGAGACACTGATCGAGTGCCTAGCTAGGAAACTGCTAGTGCTATCAGATTAGGAACAATGCAACCAGCCAGTAATAATCGCCCGGTTCGTTTGGGTTTGTTTGGCTGATAAGTCATGACTAAAAGTATGGTTGACTGATTTAGTATGAGAAAAATACTATTTGTTGGCTGAAAAAGTACGGCTTATAAGCCAAATAGGCCCAAACAAAGAGGTCGTATCCATGCTAGAGCTCTAGATGATAGTATAGCTGGTTATTGGAGTTCTTGTTCCAAGAAAAAGAAAAGAAAAGAAAAGATTGAGAGAAAAGATCGACAACATGTCTGCGTGTTTGGTGCAGCCGACACCATGTGCAATCCATGCCTGAAGATGGCGACGGCCGTAGGTAGACACACCGGAGGCAGTACTACACTGCTGCCGACGGCTCCACACATGGGGAGATCTTTGAATTCGAAGATACGGTCAAGAGCACGCAGGGACAAAGTCCCTGTCGATTCTAATAAATTTGTACCAAAGTAGATAGATATTTATGGAGGCCCTGAGGCCTGCCTGGGCACATGCTGATGAAAACGCAGCAAAGCTGATAGATATTTGGGCCTTGTTTAGGGTAGGGTTAGAAATCAGTATTTGACGTTGTAGCACTTTCGTTTGTATTTGATAATTATTATCTAATCATGACCTAATTATGCTTAAAAGATTCGTCTCGTAATTTATAATCAAACTATATAATTAATTATTTTTTTTTATCTATATTTAATACTCCATGTATATGTCCAAAGATTTAATTTGATGGAGAGAGTAAAAAAACTTGCAATCTAAAGAAGGCCTTGGTTTGTTTTGTTGCTGCACTGCTTTGCTCTGCTCATGATTGGATTGGATAGGGTGGCTGCCTGCCTGACGGCCCTCCCCTGTGTGCAGTGAAAGTGAGACACTGTTTGCCTTGTCGAGTTCATATGAAAGAATCCTGACACAGTAATAACTGAGGAGCCGGATCAGTAAACTCTTTTATTTAGTGCTTGTCTGGCCCCTGTTTAGTTTCTAAAAATTTTCACCCTAAAATATCATATCAAATCTTACGACGGCACATGTATGGACTACTAAATGTAGACGAAAAAAACTAATTACACAGTTAGGTAAGAAATCGCTAGACGAAATTTTCAAACCTCATTAGTCCATAATTAAACACTAATTGCCAAATACAAACGAAAGTGCTACAGTAGCCAAAAACTAAAAGTTTTCGCTAACTAAACACGCCCTTAGTTCTTAGCCAAATTCCTAAAAAGTGCTACTGTAGTCATTACATCGAATCTTACGATACATGCATAGAGCATTAAATATAGACGAATTAAAAAACTAATTACATAGTTTGATTGGAAATTGCGAGACGAACGTTTTGAGCCTAATTAGTCCATAATTAAACACTAATTGCTAAATAAAAACGAAAATACTACAATAATCAAATTCCCAAAATTCACGAACTAAACACAGCCTATATTTTGTACGTGCCCAAGAAAGAACTGTTAAGCTCTAGGGAACTGACTGTTGAGGCATGCTGGAGGAAAGTGGATCAAGCTTTGGGATCAAGACTCGGTGTATGTAGGGCTATAGGTACGGTACACAATGAAGGTAGCTAAAGCAGAATGATCCCTAAAAGTGTGTAAAGCTTGCTACTTTTGGCAAAGCAGTATACCTGGGACACAGACAGACAGCCTTTGAGTCTGACTGTCATCACACAAGTAACGCTCGCTCCAAGTTTCCAACTATCCGCCTCTACAGTACACATCTATATACAAATTGGAGAGAGAGAGATCTAGTATACTAGACAACGGAAGCAAATATGGTTTTGGCCCTATTCGCCTCACTATTTTTCTGCGGACAGTCCTTTCGGCTATGGCTTTTCAGCGAAACGAGAAGGGCCAAAACCATATGTAACTGAAGCATCGGCACAAGGAGAAGTAACTGTGCAGTGCAGGCATATGTGAGGTGAGGTGATCTGGCGCTGCTGGCGATCTCGATCTTCTAGAAGCAAACGAAGGCTAAGAGGGACAAATAGAACCTCAGCAGATGGGGACATGGAAACCTGTTCACTGAAGCAACCAGCAACATCTTCAGTGCAGAGACGATTATATTTACTCTATATCAGAACCTCAGCAGATGCATCGCTACATGCTAGTGATTTTCACGGCAAAGTAACTAGGCAATGGTGTAGCTCGACGAGAGGGGCAAAGAAAAAGCCCCGTGGTGGGGTGGGGTGGGGGGTTGAACTACTGGGCATCGACAGCGCGGGAGCAGGGCAACCGAAGACGAAGAGCAGAGCGAGCGGCGGTTGCGCATGGTGCTGTGCTGTACCTGGAGCAGCTTGCTGACATTGCTGGCCCCGAAGACCTTGTGCACGTTGGCGAACTTGTGCGGCTCCCCGGGCGGGAAGTAGGGCGCGAAGACGCAGCCGGCCGCGCACCGGCGCCGTAGCAGCTTGCACGCCGCGCACGGCGCCGCTGAGGCCGCTCCCCCGCCCCCGCCGGCGCCCGCCTTCCCTCCTCCGGCCCCGGCTCCGGGCACCGCCATCACCACCACCACGTCCCTCATCGGCGTGGCGATCGACAGACAGGCGAGCGGGAGTGGGAATGAGAGTGGAGAAGTGGAGACCTCGGCCGGTGGAGTATATGGCTGTTGCCAAATTGGGCGGCTGGGCCTTGCTTGGGCTACCTAGGTGGGTGGGACGGCGGACGGGGCAGGTTGCCCGGGCTCTCGGCGTCTCTACGGGGCAGGATGCAGGAGGCGGGAGGCAGGCACTGGGCAGAGATAAAAAGCTGGGAGAGCAGAGGAGAGACTGATGAGAGATGTTGGAATGGATGGACAAGGAAAAGGCGGAGGGAGAGAGGATCAGAGGACAGTGGGCAGTTGAGCCGTCTGTCGTCTTGGCTAGAGAGAGAGAGACAGTGCCTGCGTGTGAAGGGGAAGGACAGTGAGCAGTGGAAGGGCGGGCAGGCAGACAGACAGAGATCGTGCCGCGGCACGTAGCATGATGCGTGCCCCCTCTCCCTTTGATGATCCACCATTGCATTGCATTTGCATGCATCGATCGATTTCCTTCGTCCCGCTGCCTGCCCTACCTTTGACCGATGGATTATGGATCTCCAGCGCTCTCCGGTCTCCACTGATGCGAATGCGATGCAATTATGCAGCGCGACGCATGAAACACAGGGAAAAACTAAAGAGGCGCAAAGCCACGGCACGCATGCTAATTGCGGCCCGGCCCTGCACCGTACGAGGAGTAGAAGCATTTTGCTTGTCGGCCGGCCGAATCATTCGCGCATGATCCACAGCATGCTTCTCTTCTCACAAATAGTTAGTAGTGACTGCAGAGCCTTGTTTAGATACCCTCAAAATTCCAAGTTTTTTCACTCTCTTTCCATCACATCAATTTTTAGCCGTTTGCATGGAGCATTAAATGTAGGTAAAAAAAATAACTAATTGCACAGTTTAGTTGGAAATCACGAGATGAATCTTTTGAGCTTAGTTAGTCCACGATTGAACAATATTTATCAAATAAGACGAAAATACTACTATTCATCGGGTTGAATTTTTTTCAATCTAAACAAGCCGCAGGCAGGAGCGGTAGAAGTATCATGTGAGCTGCTGTGCAGCAGTGCCGAATGAACGCGCTGATAATTGATCCAAAACCGATGATGCAGATCTATTGTTTATTGTATACGTACTACTGGGTTGGGCAGAGGAGGATGGATCATGGGACTGTTTAGTTCCCTAATTTTCAGAATTTAACACTATACAAAAAGAAAATTCTCTGTCACATTAAACTCAAGTAGATACGTATGAAAGATTAAATGTTGACGAAATCAAAAACTAATTGCACAGCGATTTGTTGTCTTTCACGAGCATTTAACGTTTTGGCTTCAATTAGTCAACGTTTGAACAATTATTACCAAATACAAACGAAACGCTACAGTAGCTACTGTAGCTACAGTACTCTGACGGCGCCGATTCCGCGCCGAACTAAACGAGGGCATGGATGGATAGATGGTCATCAACCCGTCGCGTCGTTTCCAGGTCGGTTTCTGTGCGACGGCGAGCGATGTCGTGGTGCCGGTCTGTGTGCGTGCTGGTGATCGATTAGGGACCAGAGAGGGGCGAGCGGGGGTGGGGACATCTTTTTTGCTCGGTTGGTACGGCTCCGGCGGTGAATGGACGGATGGACAAGATGGGGCACCGCACCGCGACCGCCGCAGCGCCTGGCCCTGGGCCTCGCGTGCCTCCTCTCAAAAACGAGGCCCCTTTTTGTCTGTACCGCCGGCGCGCAGCAGCGTCGCAACGCGACCGCCGGTCATGCGCCCACTTCGTTTCGCTTATACGACAAATCAGCAACAGTACTTTTAGCCCTGCACCTCACTTCCTCTGCCGTGGTCTTTGGTTGCCCCTCCTAAATTTTAGTTGCTGTCCATTCAATATTTGGACATATGCATAGAGTATTAAATGTAAACTAATTACGAAACTAATTATATAGTTTGCGACCAATTTGCGAGACGAATGTTTTAAGCCTAATTAGTTTATGATTTGACGATGTGGTGCTGCAGTAAACATGTGCTAATGACGGATTAGTTAGGCTTAAAAAATTCGTCTCGTGGAGTACTAACGGATTATGTAATTTATTTTTTTATTAGTATCCGAACACCTCATGCAACATCCTTCCAACACACCTCCTAAATTTTAATCACCGAATCCAAACACCACCTTACACGATTTGGCTTGGGCACCGAATCTCCTGGCGCACTCTTTCTGCGCTTCTCTTTCTTCCATGCGTCCGACCCTGCCCCGGCGTTCGTGACAGCACACACCGGCGCGTCCGCGATCCTGCACCATCTCTTTCTTTCCTGCCTCTGACCGCACTCCGCCACGCCAATTTTTTTTTATTTTTAACACTTTTTTATAAACTAAGTTTAAATCTAACACTGTTTATTTTTTTTTTCAAAACTAACACTTTTGGCCGCGCCTATTGCCATGACGCGGCGAAACTCCTGTGCCGCGCCATGCATGGTGGCGCCATGCATGGTGGCGTAGCGGGAGGATGACGTGGCGACGACCGGGGCGCTGACCGATGACGTGGCAGAGTCTGCCACGCCATAGACCACGACGCGGCACTGACGCGCCCAGGCCCACGAAGCGGCACTGACGCGCCAAGGCCCACGGCGCGGCAGGACCTGGACATAGACAGAAGACCAACCTCAATTGCAATTGAACGGGAGCTACTGTCGGTGAGGATCGGCAGCGACGCGACCATGGACCCCGGCTTCGCGTTACAGCTGAACGGCACCTGCAGCTCCGACCCCAACGCCTTCGCCTCCCTCGACCCCTCGGCGGTGGGCTTCGACGACGCCTCCTACCGGAACCTACAGGTCGGCAAGGGCCTTCTGGGCTCCGACCAGGTGCTCTACTTCGACATGAGGTCGCGCAGCACGATCGACTACTACGCGTCCAACCAGGGTGCCTTCTTCGGCGATTTCGTGGCGGTGATGACCAAGCTCGGGAGGATCGTGGTCAAGACGCCGGCCACCGGCGGCGAGATACGCCGGGATTGCCGGTTCCTGAACTAGTTGCTAGTTAATCTCGCCGGCAGTGCTGTCGCGGCGCATTGAAACGAATATGAAGCAAATAAATGGAGTCCGTGCGTAAGTTGACATGTTGCCACATAACATTTGTTCAACATAAGTTTCAGACGACAATATTCGTTCGACATAAGTTCGACATAACCAACTAAATCCTATGAGTGTAAGGATCCCTCGGATGCCTCTGTCTCTTCGGATTTGTATGCAACACATTAGGATTGTAGCCAACGTCGGTGTGGTCGCGTTACCCTTGCGTACGGCTCGTACCCTGCAAGTATATGATATGCACGATTACTTATAATATTTATGATCGTTAGTTCATGAAGTCTACGTATTTAAAGAGACTACCTTTGTTACTACTTGTGAGGCTCCTTGGGTACCAAGCGGGGCACCACCTAGTTGAGACATGCCGATCTCGTTCTGCTGCCAATCGTCCCACTAGTGGTGCTGTATGCGGAAGCCCGGAGGGTCATCGTCGTCATCGTCATCCCCGGCGTCCTCGTTTGTAGGATCCTTCCCAATGCTATGATGTGGTGGTGTACGCACTACGGAAGCGGCACCTGTTACCGGTTGAGAAGAGCCGGCTGGTGTCCTCAAAGGGCCAGAAGACATGCCACCCGACCACGCCGGGTAATCGGGTTCCACCTAAAGAGTGTCCATGCATCTCAACTTCTGAACTGGCTTCCTGCAGCTCCGCTTCACCTTCTGCATAAATAGACGTTAAAGTTAGTACATTTTCCAAGCGCATATACACTAAAGAAACATTTTTAGAATGAACAAGTTTATGTTTACCTCCACAAAATCCTCAAGAACGCCTGGCCCCTGCCCTCTAGACTCGTGAAGCCAAAACGCTGCTTCATTGGACAACCTTGACAATTGTGTCGTCTGGGTACAGAAACGTGGTTGGACGGTTTTAGTACACATACTTAATACCAAATGGATAACAAATTGTACCATTCGAGTATCTTACCACGTATCTTTGAAGCGGGGCTCTCTGTAGTTGTGTGTCATCCTTAGTGGCAACGTCGTACACATCTTCGATCACATCTTCCTCGTCGTCCTCGTCAATCGCCTCCTCAGTGTACGAGGGCTTAATATGTGTCCTCGTAGACCTGTGAAGCCACCGTAGGTACTCATCGAAGGTGTGCTGGTCATGTGGGGGACCCGCATCGACCAGCTGTCGGTCCCTGTTCTGCCACAACTAGATGTACGCGTTGTGTGTCACGTGCCAATCCTTGGTCTTGTATCTCTTCCTACGATCATACCTACAACAAAACTATACTTAGTTGTACCATACACACCTCTGAATTGTAGTTTTGTTATTAATCGATAACGCACCCGTGTAATTCTTGGTTGGTGGAGTAAAGCGGTGGTGGGTAGCCTGTCATTCTTGCAAACTGCCTGCAAACCCCGATGGGTAAGTGAATCTCGACCACGTGGAAGAAAATAAGAGGGACATTGCAGCGATACTCGTCTGACTCATCCCTAGTGACAGGACTCAGATAGTACTGGAGCTCTGGAGCATCTCAAGGACACCAATGCACCTGAATATTTTGTAATTGAGTTAGGTTGTGATATAGTGTACATCGAACAAGACACATGTATGATAGTAAAGAGAGCGTAACCTGGTGCTGTGTCAGGACATCGGAGATAGTTCGTGTACTCCTATAAGGTCGAGATGGTGGACTAGAGGGGGGGTGAATAGTCATTTCTAAATTTAATCGCGTCGGCTAACCGAAACAAATAGAGAATTAAAACAACTTGGTATAGCCAAGACTACACCCCTCTATCAATATTCTCTAGCACCTTGAAAGATCCTAATTAAGCAACAAAGGTGCTGGGCTAGCTAGAACTCACCTAACCAATTCTAAGAGCAAAGTCATACAAACCTATGTCACTAGTATTTCAGGCAATGAGGGAACTCCTACACATGCTAGTAAGCAAAAGCACAGAGCCAACTAAGCT